AAAGGGGCGGGGCTTAAGAGGGTTAACATATTCAAAAAAGGGGCGGGGCTTAATGGGGTTGAAATAATGGAAAGGGGCGGGGCTTAATAGAGTTAAAATAATGGGAAATGGGCGGGGCTTAGGAAAGGGGCGGGGCTTAAGAGGATTGACATATTCAAAAAAGGGGCGGGGCTTAAATTGGTTTAAATAATAGAAAAGGGGTGGGGCTTAATAGGGTTAAAATACTATAAGGGGCGGGGCTTAATAAAGGGGGCGGGGCTTAAAGAGGTTTAAATATACAAAAAAGGGTGGGACTTAATGGTGTTAAAATAATAGAAAAAGGGCGTGGCTTAGTAAAGGGGTGGAGCTTAGAAAAGGGGCGGGGCTTAAACGGTTAAATAATAGAAAAGGGGCGTGGCTTAATGGGTAAAGAATTTAAAAGGGGTGGGGCTTAATGGGATTAAAATATACAAAAAGGGGTGGGGCTTAATGGGGTTTAAATAGAACAGGGGCGGGGCTTAATGGGTAAAATAATAGAAAAAGGGGCGTGGCTTAATGAGTAATATAATTAAAAGGGGCGGGGCTTAATGAGGTTAAAATAATAGAAAGGGGTGGGGCTTAATAGGGTTAAAATAATGGCAAATGGGTGGGGCTTAAAAAGGGGGCGGGGCTAAAGAGGATTAACATATTCAACAAAGGGGCGGGGCTTAAGAGGATTAACATATTCAAAAAAGGGGCGGGGCTTAATGGGGTTGAAATAATGGAAAGGGGCGGGGCTTAATAGGGTTAAAATAATGGGAAATGGGCGGGGCTTATGAAAGGGGGCGGGGCTTAAGAGGATTGACATATTCAAAAAAGGGGCGGGGCTTAAATTGGTTTAAATAATAGAAAAGGGGTGGGGCTTAATGGGGTTAAAATGCTATAAAGGGGTGGGGCTTAGAAAGGGGGCGGGGCTTAGAAAAGGGGGAGGGGCTTAAGAGGGTTAACATATTCAAAAAAGGGGTGGGGCTTACACTGATTTAAATAATTGAAAAGGGGTAGGGTTTAATAGGGTTAAAATACTATAAAGGGGCGGGGCTTAGAAAGGGGGCGGGGCTTAGATGGGGCGGGGCTTAATGGATAAAATGGGGCTTAATAGGGTTGAAATAATGGAAAAAGAGGGCGGGGTTTAGTAAAGGGGCGGGGCTAACAGGGGTTTGCATATTTAAAAAGGGGCGGAGCTTAAAGAGGTTTAAATAATAGAAAGGGGTGGGGCTTAATGGGGTTAAAATAATGGGAAAGGGGCGTGGCTTAGTAAAGGGGGCAGGTCTTAAATGGGCTTAAATACTCAAATAGGGGCGGGGCTTAAGGGGGTTAAAATAATAGAGAAAGTGGCTATGAGTTTAAATAATAGAAAAAGGGGCGGGGCTTAATGGGGTTAAATTAATAGAAAAGGGGAGTGG